ATCAGCTACGACACTCACACTTACAAGTGAAGCTTCGATGGATACAGCTTTTAAAGAGCGCGTGCTAAGAAGCAAACTGATGGCGGGCTTCATTTCCTGGTTTCTTCCATTTAGGTAAGCCGTTCAATTTTTCGAAAGTTATGCGAAAAATGCACAAAACAGGCCCCAATACATCCCATGCATATCCCGGAACTGTTGATAAAACACAGTCTCAGATTGGTGACCCGCGTTTTGCATCCGCACGTCACTGCTTTAAACGTGACGCTAGTAACAAAGAGATGGAGACGTTTTTTCCATTCGACGGGCAATTTTCGGCGGAAGGAGCTGCGTTATTTCGATGAAGCTAAAACTCGCTGCGGCCGATGGAAGGGCGAGAGTCCACGAGGAGGAAAGGGTTGGCCTGGGGAAGGGAATGTGATCGATTAGGGGCCTGTAGAGGCCTCAAGGCCAGGGATGGAAGCAAAAACGCTGCTGCTTCTGAATGCCGCTTCGATAGTTGTCATTTCGTTCGCCACTGATAACTGGATTCAAGTATCCTACAGTATCTCTGCGGTGCCCGACTATTGTACTCTGCATCAGATGCCCGATTTTCACATTTTGCAATGTAGCACCGATCGTCGGCTTATCAACCCGCAGTACTCCAACTTATTTCGTCAGTGCAATGATTTGACAGGTCCATCCATATTCAGCTCATTTTCACTGTAAAGTTAAAGAACTCACAAAGTTGCTGGCAGAAGAACTTAGCGGGGGAGGGAGGAGGAAGAGGGGGGACGGGAGAGGCAAGGGGAGGGAATGTGACCGGTGTCCTCGATGAAAGACCGTGGATTTAGCGTGGAATTGTGTGCCCGAACGAACTGGTATTATTATCAAGATAAATCCCAAAGATGGCAAGAAATTCCAATTAAGTAATTATAAATTTTGGCCGTAAGCAGCACCTGGAAATAGTAATCCAGGACTAAGACCTTTTTTGGCAAAAATAATTGGCCAACGCACGGGCTGTCCGTGTGAAGATGCGTTTTTTGCAGAGTTCCCCGCAGTTTTTGTCACCACCGGCATCGGTTTTTTT